TTGTAGAGATGAGGTCTCGCTGCCTAGGTGGGTCTCGAACCCGTGGGCTCAGGCAATCCACTCACCTCAGCCTCCCAAAGGCGCGGGATTACAGGCTGAGCCACCAAGCCCGGCTTCTGGACGTTACATTTTTAACTACTTCAGATAAAAGCAATCAAAAGAAATTAAATTTTTTCTACATAAAATCGGCAGGAGTTGTTTGCCTGAAACCATCCCAATACAGCATCAGATGAGACAACTGAAAAATAAAACACGTAGGTACTAGCAATTCACCTCCTCACTGTCTCAGTGTATGTTTCACAGATCAGAGCATCCCTTCTGCAGAACCCTCTCTTGTTTTTCAAAGCTCAAAGCTTCAGTAGCTGGCACTTACTCCACTACGACGGGATGTCATGGCCACCACTGGAGACCACTGATTAGTCCTAGGGTTGTATCTCTCGGCACTGCTGAGTTCTGTGGTGTCATCTCTACCTCCGACGGCATAGATCATGTCCTGATACACAGCACAACCTAGGTGCTTTCTCCGGGTCCCCATGGGGGCTATGGTATGCCACCTGTTCTCCTGAGGATTGTAACGCTCCACTGCAAGGAAAAGAAAAACCAGTCAGTGTTCGTCCAACCACTTCCTCTCACCTCTAGTGCTCTTCACAGCAACTGAAACTTTGTGAAAACACAGGTTTTCTTTCTTTTTTTTTTTTTTCTTCGAGTTGGAGTCTCACTCTGTCGCCCAGACTGGAGTGCAGTGGCCGCACCCGGCCACTGCAGCCTCCACCTGCTGGGCTCCGGTGATCCTTCAGCCTCAGCCTTCCGAGTAGCCGGAATTACAGGCATGTGCTACCACGCCCGGCTGATTTTTTTATTTATTGTAGAGATGAGGTCTCGCTGCCCAGGCGGGTCTCGAACCCGCGGGCTCAGGCAGTCCACTCACCTCAGCCTCCCAAAGGCACGGGATTACAGGCTGAGCCACCGAGCCTGGCTACAACACATGTTTTCACTAAATAATCTGTCTTTTGCTTCTGAGAAAGACTTCAGGTGATGTCACATAACACTCTCATAAGGGACTGGTTTCTTCTAGGTCTGGTACAGTGGAAAGGGCATGTGATGGCGTCAAGACACTTGGGTTCTAGTTTTGGCTAAATGAATAATTAGCCACAAGACTTCAGCCTTACTGCACTTATGATCAATAAGCACTATTCAGTACTAACACTTTATTACACAGATAACTTTTTTTTTTTTAAGTTGGAGTCTCACTCTGTCGTTCAAGTGCAGTGGCATGCTCACAGCCACCGCAGACTTGACCTGCTGGACTCAGGTGATCCTTCTGCCTCAGCCTTCCAAGTAGTTGGAACTGCAGGCATAAGCCACCACACCCAGCTAGTTTTTTGATTTACTGTAGAGATGAGGTCTCACCAAATTTCCCAGGAGGGTCTCGAACCCCTGGGCTCAGGCAATCCTCTTGCCTCTGCCTCCCAAAGTATTGGGATTACAGTCTTGAGCCACCATGCCCAGCCAATAACCACCTCTCTTAAAGAAAACCAACATCCTTTTTATTATAATCTAAGGATAAGTAAAAACTTAGAACTAGAGATTGGTTTATGTTAGCTCTTTCTATTTAGAAATAATGGATATTTTTGCCTAAGCATACTGTCAGTGTGGTATTCACATTAGATTGTCACCTTGTTTTCTCTTCATTGGCTTAGAATGCACTCGGCTATAGGCAAGCAGATACAGGAGTACAGAAAGTAGTTCTTTTATTCATTATAAGTTTCTAGCAGTTTGCAAAGCAGAGGGAGAAAGAAATACATGGGGAATGTTGAAGACTATGGCTGAGGAAGGAGCTGAGGAAGAGCTGAGAGTTGCGTTCTCCTAGAGGGAAAATAAAGCCTTTTCCTAATACATTACTGGAGAACCTGGACTTTCTATGCTTTTTGTAGGGAGCTCTCTTCAGGAAAATGTGCCGTTTGGGGGAACCAGGCTGTTTTTGGGAGGGACTAACCTGTATTGAGAGGAGATGTCCCGTCAGAGCCACCTACAGCATATAAGAACCCTCCTAACACAGCCACAGCCACACCTAGTCTCCTGGTGCTCATAGAAGCCACCCGAGTCCATTTGTTCTCCTTGGGATCATACCTGCAGGGAGAGAAACCAGACTGTGTGCATGTTGTTGAGTAAGACCTTTTTCATATGATCTGGAATCACACTAAAGACAGATTGGATACATAAGACTTGCTATCTGCAAATGTGCAATGAGATTCTAAAATACTTTAATCATTAGGGGAAAAAAGAATTCATAACTGTGCCAGTTATTAAGCTATTTTCTATGCTCAGATTTGGTAAATGTCCCCAGGGAAGAAAACAGCCTATGACCTCGGCTCATGGAATGCAGGCTCTTCCCTCAGTGGAATTTTAGCTCACCGATGCTTGTTACTCCTATACTCCAGCATCTTTCAACATGGTATCTGTAATTTGTCTTTTTTTCCTAGTGGCTGCAATGGGAGCGACGGCTGTTACTGTTCACTACATCCTACTTGCAAAAGAAATCTTTTACATAGTTTTTAAGAACAACTTTTTTATTGTAAAACACAAATGCAGAAAGACACACAAATGCATAGTTTAGATAGTTTACTATCAGGAAAGCTCATTTATAAATATCACCTAAGCCAAGAAGCAAACTTTGCATGACACTCTGAAATCCTGCAATGTGTCCCTCCCCACAAAGTAACCATTATCCTGACTTTTATGGTGATCGTTTCCTAGTGCTTCTTTATGGTTCTATCATCCAACTGTCATCCCTAGATACTTTAGTCATACTTAAATTTGGGGGGGGGTATTTTTAAAAGTCTCTTATACCTACAGGTTTCTCTCCATTCCTTTTCCACCCTTGCAATTCATTTGTTTTAGAACCTGGGGTGTATGACAGTTTTCTCCATAATATGAATTTGGCTGATGGCACACTAATAGTGCAGTTCAACATGCTGCTGTCTTCTGTTTAATCAGACCATGTTTAGTTCCTTTAACAAGACTACCAAAGGTGTTTTGTTAGCAGCTGCTAATTATCATTAACTTACTAAGTGTTGCAAAATGGTGATGTTCTATCATTTCTTTTCTTTTGTTTTCTACAAATTTTTTTGTAGAGATGGGTCTTGCTATGTTGCCCAGACTGGTCTTGAACTCCTGGGCTTAAGCAATCATCCTACCTATGTTGGGATTACAGGCGTGAGCCATTGTGCCTGGCTACTTATTTTCTTTTATTGGGATAACTTTATAAAGTAAATATTATCTACAATTTGGTTACCCAATTCATATGAAATACAGTTCATATAAGGCAGGATACATGCTTGCTTATATTACTTTATTTACAGGTTTTCAAGATAATAATGTTATTTCCTATGATCTTCTAAAGGCAATTAGGGTTTTATAAATAAACAAATCTATGAGTTCTTATAGATTTATTTTTCAGTTGGAGTCTCACTCTGTCACCCAGGCTAGAGTGCAGTGGAATGATCACACCTCACCACAGCCTCCAATTCTGGGCTCAGGTAATCCTACTGCCTCAGTCTCCTGAGTAGCTGGGACTGCAGGTGTGCTCCACCACACCTACCTAATTAAAAACAATTTTTTTTTTTTTAGAGATGGGGTCTTGCTATGTTGCCCAGGCTGATCTGGAACTCCTGACCTCAAGTAATCCTCCCACCTCAGACTCCCAAATTGCTGGGGTTATAGGCATGAGCTACCATGCCTGGCCTAGGAACTCATAGATTCAATATACTAATTGGATTTCAATCTATTGCAATTATTATTCCTTTTAAAGTTGCAATTGTCTTGTCTTTGGTCAGTGGAAGAATCTCCAAGCTGGCTCCTGAGTCATTCTAACTCCTACTGGCCTTTGACAGCAGTCCAGACTCATCTGTACACTTCCTGTCCTAAACCTGGAAGCCAACATTTCTCCAAGAAGCTCTAGCTTCTTTAAGTGGGAAATGAAATTACAAGACACAATCTGGAAGCAGAGATGTTCACTTCACTGCCACTTGGTTGGTTTTTATTTTCAGGTCAGCTGACAGAGCTAGATTTTAAAGAAATTTTTTTAAAAGGTGAGTTTAAATAAAATTAAAATTCAGGATAACTCAATTTACTTAACTTCTAGTTTTCATCTTTCTCTTTTTCCACACCAAGATCCTGGTTTTCAAGGACATAGGTGAGGACAGAATTAAAATAGTCCACACTCATTTCCTTTATCTACATTTATACACATAAGTCTTAGAATAGCAACATTATCACGCCAATATTCCAAAGAATGATTAACATTCCTTTTTACATATCTCTTCACATTTTCCCCTCACTTAAAAAAATAGCTGTAGGGTCAGGCGTGGTGGCTCAAGTCTATAATCTCAGCACTTTGGGAGGCCAAGGCAAGAGGATTGCCTGAGTCCAGGGGTTTGAAACCAGCCTGGGCAACTTGATGAGACCTCATCTCTACAATCTATCAAAAAATTAGCTGGGCAGCATAGCATATACCTGTAGTTCCAGCTACTTGGAAGGCTGAGGCGGAAGGATCGCCGGAGCCCAGAGGGTCAACGATGGGGTGGCCGTGACTGTGCCACTGCACTCCAGCCTGGGCAACAAGAGTGAGACTCTGACTCAAAAAAAAGCTGTGGTACTGCATTTCCACTGATTGAGCACATAGCTAGTACCTGCTACTCTCTCCTCTCTCCCTCTTAATCCTTACTTAGTAATAGTTTTACAATTAATTGCATGTTTAACACCATCAGTCCTTCTGAAAATGTTTTTCTGGTAATTTTGTCTGAAGCTTGTTCTGATTCCTCAGAAAGGGTTCAAAGTGACAATATTACCTGATTTTGTACATGTTGGTAACAGCTTATTTGTGCCCTTTATAATTCAAAGTAGTTTCTCTAGGTATAACATCCTTAGCTTACATTTTCCATGAGTATCTTAAATTTATTACTCATTTTCTTTTTGTGTGTGTGTCAGGGTCTCACTTTCTTGCCTCAGGCTGGAGTGCAGTAACAGGATCACAACTCATGACAGCCTTGATGTCCTGGGCTCAGGTGATCCTTCCACCTCAATTTCCCAAGTAGCTGGGATTATAAGTGCATGTCACACTGCCTGGCTAAATTTTTATAGAGATGAGGTCTCGCTTTGTTGCCTAGGCTGGTCTCAAACTTCTGAGCTCAAGCAATGCTCCTGCCTTGGCCTCTCCAAGTGCTGGGATTACAGGTGTGAGCTACCGCACCTGGCCATTACTCCATTTTCTTCTAGCATAACATATTGCTTTTAAGAAGTCTAATGATAATCTAACTTTCTTTCCATTATAAGTAACATGTATTTTTTCGTAGATGTCTAAAGGATTTTTTTTCTTTTTCTTCAAGGTGTAGTCATTTTATTAGCATGTGTCTTGGTGGTGATTGTGTTGGGTCCGTATTTTATAGTGTATAGTATATTCTTTCAATAAGCAACCTCAACTTTTTTATTACAGGAAAGTAATTTTTTTTTTAGGCTAGTCAAATGAAGCAGTCGCTTGAAGCAGTCAGAGTGGAGCGGAAACAATGAAATCTGTAACTGGCTGTGATCAATTAATTGTAATGACCACTGCACTTGGACCAGGTAGGAAAGTAATTCTGAATTACAGTTCTTAGAATTGGTTCTCTTCACTTGCTTTGGTTTTCTTCTTCATGGACTGTTATTATATATACAACAGATTTTTGCCTATTTTCAGTATTTGTTGCTATCCTCAAATACTATCCCTTAATTTATTTTTGACTTCAGAATATTTGTCTTAGAGCATTCTCTATTTTGCTTATTTGTTCCCCTCATTCGAAAAGTTTTTCCTTTTATTTCTAAAATTGTCACCTCATTTCTGAGTTTTTGAAACTCTGATTTATGTAGTTTCATTCCTTGTATCATTTTCTTCATACTCCATCACATTTTGAAACAGCTGACTCAAGTTTTGATCTGTTGTGTAGGTGTGTCTTTCTGGTATGCTTTTGCCATCTGTGGAGATGTTGTTCTGCTGCTTATTCTCTCTTCTTCTACTAACTTTGTTATGGAATCTAATCTCAATTATGTTGCTGCTGCTCGTTTTTACATGAAATGGGTTTTTCTGAACTTTAGGAGGAGTGGTTTGTAACAATTTTCCTAACTTTGTGGAGCTTCCTCTTATTTTTTCATAGTGTTAAATGTAGTGTCTTGCCTTCTGAGGTTTATTGACTTTACTTGCTGCCCCTACTTTTGTCATGGCCATCCCTTTTCAAGGGCAACAAGGGTATCTGTTGCCCTTGTCCTGGTTCACGCTGATTCTCCTCCTAGAAGTTTCTCCTCAATGTGGGCTCCTGACCCAAAAGGTGATCCTGGCAGGTCAGTTTTGAGAGTTCCTAGGGACTAGATGGCTCTAGCCAACTTGGCTCCCCACCAGGTGTAATTTTTGCCTCTTTCTGCCCCCACTTTCTAGAGAACATCTGGCAATGTCCAGAGACACTGTTGGTTGTCACAACCAGGTTTGTGCTTCTGGCACTTAGTCAGCAGAAGCCAGGAATGCTGTTAAACATCCTACAATTTCCCCAACAAAAAAGACTACCCAGCCTAAAATGCCAGTAGTGCTGAGGTGAAGAACCCTATTCTAAACCCTTCAGATCTTATTGCAGGTTGGTTGTACTTACTCCCTATGGAAGTGGACAAAACCATTCTTAGTTTTAGTTGTTATTCATAAATTTTCCCCCTATGCTTTCTAGTGAATATGTATTACTATTTTGAGGTTCTTCTGTACTTAGATCTGTCAGACATGCTGTTGCTTCTTTGTTTTCTCTGGCACAGATACTAGTATCATGCAGGTCTTGTGGCTATCGGGAGTTTGTCTTTGCCTGTTTGTGTTTTGGGGTTTTGAGGATATCCTTTCCTCCAATTTTGTTTTAAGTATTTTCTGTAGGTTTTTGTGGTTTAAACTGTGATAAAATAAAATATTACCCCAAATTTACCATCTTAACCTTTTTTTTTTTTTTCAGTTGAAGTCTCACTCTGTTCCTCAGGCTGGAGTACAGTAGCACACTCACGGCTACCCCAGTGTGGACCTGCTGGACTCAGGTGATCCTTCTGCCTCAGTCTTCCAAGTAGCTGGA